ACATTAAAATATCCCAAACTATAAAGAAAACAATTAACCAATAGAAAACTCTGAGAGCTTCAGTAGCTGCACTCAGTTTTGTTAAGATCTCCTTGTTGCATTATACCATTTCCTGTTCCCATTCCAACCACACTTCTCCTTTTTTTAATTTACTAAAGACTCAAGGCTTTTAGATAAAGGTATAGAATTAAACTATTTCTAATTTTATGAGTTCTCAAAGAGTTTCCAACGAAAACGAATTGAAGTTCCTTTAAGCACCAGAGTTAATTTTCTCCTGCTTTAAAATCTCATATTCTGAATCATATTTAAGAGATAGACATTGTTAGAACTTAACTGATCACCTCTTGGGGGTCATTTTTTCAAAAAGTAATTAAATGGCTACTATGTGCCAGACAATAAGTGCTGGACCATGCAAAGTTTAACAAAATTTTGCCCTTGATCTAATGAAACACAGAGATGAGTAAGAAACAGAAAAAAAGAGAGAGTGAGCGAGAGAGAACGTTATCATAAAACACACTAATCATAATGGTGTAACGGTATGTCACTATTATGGAAGCACAGGTAAGGGACACCCAACCTGACCTGAGAGAGGTGGGGTTTAGTGATGAAAATAATCCTCAGGCTGGGTTGTGAAGGATGAGTAAGGAGCCAGGAGACCTTTCCACATACGGACAAGTTGGAATGAGAGAAGATTTTTGAGGGAGGGAAATGCGGCAGAAAGAGTAACAGATGTACTTGGAAAGTGTTCTGTGTCCCATTAAAGAGCCCACGTTTTACCCCGTAAGCAGCAGGAGTCACTAAGGGGATTCAACCAGGGAAGCTGCATGTTCATTTTTGTGTTTTAGAGAGATCATCATGGAAGAGAATAACAGGGAAGCAAGATAAAAGGGAGACAGGTAGACAGTTAATCTAGAGTAGGAATCACCAAAGTTCTTCCACAAAGAACCAGAGAGTAGACATAGTAACAGGCTTTGGAAACTGTATAGTCTCTGTCACAACAAATGGACTCCACTGTTGTAGTGTAATAGTAATGATGTAAACAAATGAGCATAGCTGCCCTCAATAAAACTTTATTTACAAAAAACAGCAGTGGGTTCGGTCCTCGAGTGTTAAATTGCCAATCCCTGGTCTAGAACAGCACTATCCAAAAAAACTTTCTGCAATTAATGAAAATGTTCTATAGATGTGCTACCCAATTCAGCAGACTCTAGCCAAGTGGGGCTGTCAAGCACTTGAAATGTTACAAGTTAGCCTGAGGAACTGAATTTTTAATTTAATTTAAATGTAAATAATTACATGTGGCTTACAGTTACCCTGTTGGGCAGGACAGGGTTAGAAGCTAGTACAGGAGCCTAGACAAGAGATGATGGCACTGAGAGTAGAGATGGAGAGTCAGTGGCCAAGGCAAGAAATATTTTGGAGGTTATCTGGTAGGACCTAATGATGGACGAAATGTAGGTGAGGGAGAAACAGTAAAAGATGATTCCCACATGTTGAGCAGGAGAATGAGAGAGAACAGCTGGGCCACATGCTGAACAAGAGAAAGTAAGAGACTGCAGAGGGAAATACGTTGCATTCTATTTCAGACATGTTGAATTTGATGTGCCACCTGGGAGGAGAAAACACTTGACTATTATCAAAGAAGTTGGTAATATTAAATATGCTCTTTTTAAAAGAGAAAGCAACTGTAGCACAGGGATGTTAAATAACTTAGCCCAGGTCAGGGCACATTAAGTGACAAGGTTGAATACAACTTGAGTCCATCTGGTTTTAAAATTCATGCACAGTCCATCACACGAACATGAGCATCACATGAAATGAGCAAACAGGTAATAGTGGACACCTTGAAAGGAGAACTCAGCCCAGGGAGAAGCATGGAGATCAGTGGGCCCAGAAGAGAGCCTTGGGGAACACCAGCATTTGCGGAACCGTGTCTTACCAAGGAGGCTGAGAGAGTGTGGTCAAAGACATACAAGGATTGGATGAGTGTGGTGTCATGAAAGCAAAGGGAGTTGGGCTGTAGAAGGAGGTGATCAATAGCATCATGTCCATAGAGACACATAATGAGAAGGTCCCCAAAAGGAGTTTGCCGGATTTTGCAACTGGAAGTCACTGATGCCTCTAATGAAACAGTTCTAGCGACGGAAGAGGAAGCCTAATTTCAGTGAGTTAAAGAGCAAAAGAAGATACAACAAAGTAGAGAAAGCAAATATAAACAGGCACTGCCAGTGGGCTTTAGCATGTGGGGTATGTATGACATTTAGCACTTCCTGAACATATACCGAATGGCAAGCACCGTGCCAGGTGCTTTATACATGTAATCTCATTGAATCTGCACAACAAACTGTAAGGCCTATAGGCATCATCATCATCATCATCATCCCTATTTTATAGGTAAGAAACCAGGCTCAGAGAGATGAACTAATCTTCCACTCATATACAAAGCTAAGTGAGAGAGCTTGGATTTGAATGCAGGTCGTTTGGCTTCAAAGTACATGCTCTTTGCTCTATACTTTCACATTATCAGAGTCTTTGAGGATTGCAGAATTATTATTTTAAAAATTCAAATGGCCAAGCCCAAGAAACTGGTTATCTTCTTGAAGAATTAAGATTACATCCTATGAAATATGGGCAAACAAAAGAAGACAGTGTGTAAGCAAAACTTGGGAAAGAACAGGTTCAGCAGCAATCTACTCTCTCCTGTTTTGGGGGTGGAAGGACCACTTCTCCCCTGTCCCCGCCACCTTTGAAAAAAAAAAAAAAAAGATCAGGTTAGGGGCGCCTGGGTGGTTCAGTTGGTTTGAGTGTCTGCCTTCGGCTCAGGTCATGACCATGGGGTCCTGGGATTGAGCCCCGTGTCAGGATACCTGCTCATCGGGGAGTCTGCTTCTCTCTCTGACCCTCCCCCCCACACACTTTCTGCTCTCTCTCTCTTTTACTCTCTCTCAGATAATTTTTTTTTTAAAGATCAGGCTAATTGCATGGTGAACATACTAATGACAGATGTCCCGATAAACAGACTAATGGTATTTGTTGCAGGAGAGTCTCATCCGTGGAATGTTTTTAGGATATAGCTAGTCTAGGTTTGCTTATGGCAAACAAACCTAGAACGTATGGATTTATGGGGTCTGACCCCCTGGAGAATGTTACATAAGCTATGTAACTATCCGAGTATTAAATGGAGATGTTTCCTAATCAAGAGAGTTCCTTCTATGTTCACAATAGGAACTATGCATACTGCTTACAGCCCTCAGAGATAACCTTATTGTGGAGTCTTCCCAATGCAAAAAGGACCCAGGGAGCCATTCAGATGGTCCTGAACATCTCCCTGCCTTGACAGTGCCTGAGGATTACTTGGATCCTCGGCTTAATACAGGGTACACTCTCTAACCCATGTGAGTCTGATTTGACAGTCCCAATTCTCTGGGTTATCTCTGCACTAAGTCACAAAAGGGTTGCATGCAATCATGGGAGCCTCCCCCTGACTTTGGGACTTTGTCCGAAGATTTTAAAGATAGGTAAGTTTTTCAGAGATGGAAGGGAAATGGAGGATGTGAATACGGGAAGAAACTCGAGAACCACCCACAGGTGCATGAGACAGTAAGGGTTCCAAACTGACTCTAATGAACAGTAGGAAATGAGGCTGGCAACAAACATGTGGAGCACATCACAGGGAACCTCAAAGTCAGAGAAGAGTCTAAACAGGATGCAGTTTTTGGAAGAAAATAAGGTCCAGAAAGTGGATCACAGGCAGGATTACGGCGGTGGCACTGTGAAGAAGGACAGAAGAGAGGGTGAACCTGGAAGGAGGGAAGTCTGTTGGAAGGCTATGGCAGTAAGTGAACTGTGGAGATCCTGCAAACCCTCACCTAGGACCATGGATATGGAGTGAAAGGAACAGCTAGCGTTACACATGAAAGGCATCAGCAGACCTCACTAAATGACAAGATAAGGGTCATACAGCATCATTATAAATCCACTGGCAAATACAAGCATCTACCTCCCTCCATGAGATGGATGGAACTTAATTTCCTTTCTCCCTCATCTCCTTGAGAGTGGGCTATCCTTCATATCTTGCTTTTAAAGAACAGAGTAAGGAAAAGAAAAAACTTCACAATGGAGAAACCTGGCAAACATCACCTTAACCATGTGATACCCAAGTTCACATCCCCCAATGATATGGACATCATGTACCTCCTAACATGATGTGATGAGAAGGGCAGTTTGCCTTCGCGGGATTCCTTCCAAAACTCCATCACCTCCACCTAGTCATAAGAAAAACGGACAAATCCAGACTAGGGGACAGTTTACAGGATAACTGGACAGTACTTCTTAACACTGTCAAAGTCAAGAAAAACAGGGAAAGACTCAGAAACTGTTACAGACCACAGGAGACTGGGAAGACACGAAACTAAATGCAATGTGGCAGTCTGGACTGAATCCTAGAACGAAAAGAAAACACTAATGGAAAAATTGATGCAATCCCACAAAGTCTGGAGTTCACTTAACAGTGACGTATCAGTGCTGGTTTCTTAAGTTTTGACAAATGGTCCATGGTAATGTAATCTATCAGCAACAGAGAAAACCAGGTGAGGAGGATATGGGCGTTCATATGCTATCTTGGCAACTTTCTGTAAATCTAAAATTAGAAGTCTGGTTTTTCTTTAAATGATGGATGAAGGTAATGTGGATATCAGAATCTGGGAATAGGAATACGCTGGTGTCAAGAATGTGAACTGGCCCCAAGATGAACCCAACTGTAGTAAAGCATCGCCATCCTTCAAAGAGAGCTCCATTCCAAAGCTTGGACCACCGCTCTCTACCTCAGGATCTTGGATAAGCTTCTCTCGCCTTTCGAAGGCTTGGTTTCCTCATTTGCACAATGGTGACAATAATTCATGTCACATATTCTCATTTTTATTTAGTGCCTTTAGGATCTTCGGGAAAGTTTCCCCAAACGAAAAGGAAACAGCACAAGTTTAAAGTAATTAGTCACCTACCGCTGATTCACAAAAGGGCTGGAAAGTTCTGCAAGCAGGCGAAAATTCCCAATGTATGCCAGGACTCCATCCCTCTGGATGAGAAACATAAAACACAATGTCAGGGAGGACATGCTTATCAACATTTCCAAATATAAAGGAACATTCAATAACTTCTCAGCATAAAATAACAATTGATATCAAGACAGACCAAGTGTCCTAGCTGATTTTCTTCTTTATGAGAATTTAGAAATGTCACTAGAATTCTAAAATATTTTTAAAAGACAGCATATTGGACACTTATGTTCACCCATAAAAACAGATTTTAAACAGTTGTCCCATGTTGAACTAATGAATTCTGCAAACAGCCACTGGTGACAACATTCTCGAATTACTGTAGAAATGATGATCAAAGTAGTGTGAATTTCAGAAGTTGAGGAATTTTATAGCAGTTAAATACTTAAAAGAAACTCATTTTTATATCCATTAATAAAAGCACCTTAAAAAATCTCAAAAGTGTACTTGACATCCTAAATAACATCTGTAAGCCTGTGAGCAGATGCATATTTGCCAAAAGTAACAACACATGCTAAAATTTATGTATCACATTTGACCTGAAAAATGTATTTGTCAATCAGAAGATCCTACAGCTAAAACACACACTCTCAGGACCTCTCTGAATTTAGAAACAATGCCCAGTACACTGTATGAATGTAATAGGAAAAGTAGAACAGAGTTAATAAACTCTGAAAAACAAAGAAGTATACATTAGAAAGAAAAACAAAAGTATACATTCCAAAAATATCAGGTAATTTAAACACTGTTACTAGGTAAACAGTCATTCCAGCACTTCCAACTCAATCAGAATTATGATCACACACAAAAAGAAATAGTTGTACCTGCGCCCAAAACATTAGATATACATGGAACTTCAGAAACCCTATTCCTATAAGCTATAACATGCTGCCTTCCAAAATGGAAACAATATAAAGCAGTAAAAACAAATGAACATTTTATTTGAAGGTTTTCAGTCCTTCTCCATGGAAATTATTTTAGGGATTGAAAATTCAGAGCTGATTATACAAATTAGCTTTTCCAACACTAATCTAGAACTTTTTATAATCTCAAATTCACTGGCCTTAGTGAAATTGAAATGTGTGATGAGGAGGAAGGAAGGAAGAGGGACAAAAGAACAAAGACAATGGGCAAGGTGAGTACTGTGCACAGCGGTGATCAACTTTACCTAAAGTCAGCAGAGACACAGCCACACCACTCCAAAAACACATGACAACACAGAAGAAATATTACTCACAGGTGTTATTACTTTAACAGAGAACTAGAATCAGTATTTATCTGAAATTATATATTGTTCTGTACTATTTAGTTTTCTGTTATGGTAAGAGCATTTATTTCAACAAACAGTAAGGTTAACAAGGGTATTTAGTAGTAATTAAGAATAGGACAATTTAACAAATAAAATGTGTGAAAATGTAGCGTGTGCGTATGTGTGTGTGTGTGTTTTAAGGGGAGGGGCAGAGGGAGAGGGAGAGAATCTTAAGCAGGCTCCATACCCAATGCGCAGAGCTGATGGGAATGACAATCTTACCACCCCGAGATCATGACCTGAGTCGAGATCCAGAGTCAGACACTTAACCAACTGAGCCACCCAGGAGCCCCAATATTTTTATGTTCCTTTCTGCCCTTTTTGTTTTGTTTTCACTTTTTTTTTAAGATTTTATTTATTTATGTGACAGAGAGAGAGATCACAAGTAGGCAGAGAGGTGGGCAGAGAGAGAGAAGGGGGGAAGCAGGCTCCCTGTTGAGCAGAGAGCCCGATGCGGGGCTCGATCCCAGGTCCCTGGGCTCATGACCAGAGCCGAAGGCAGAGGCTTAACCCACTGAGCCACCCAGGCGCCCCTTTTCTGCCCTTTTATTTAACCTTTTTTCTGGATATTTAAATCTAGTAGGCTATATTATTGTATATTTTCAGAAACATACATCTGAGACGTTGTAAAAGGGGAATGTAAATACAATGGGACTGAACAGTTATCTATATCTAATAAAAAATAACAGTGACATCTTATCCATGATACAGTAGGATATTTTTACTCTTTGCTTCCTTTTCCACTACTACTTTTCTGAACTGCCTGTAGCCTTTAGGTGGGGGTATATATATATGTTTTTTTGCCTCCCCACCCCCAGGAATGAACTACAGTCCAATAGAAAATTCACTTTGACTTGTAGCTCTGCTCTTGTAAGTCCACATTACTGATATTAGTCTAACAGGATAACCTCAATTTAATATTTTCTTAAGAAAGGTGTAAGCAGGGGCACCTGGGTGGCTTAGTTGGTTAAGCGGCTGCTTTCAGCTCAGGTCATGATCCCAACGTCCTGGGATCGAGTCCCGTATTAAGCCCCGTATCAGGCTCCCTGCTCAATAGGGAGCCAGTTTCTTCCTCTGCCTCTGCTCCTGCCCCTCCCTTGCTCATGCTCACTCTCTAATAAATAAATAAAATTTTAAAAAAAAGAAAAGAAAAGAAAGGTGTGAGCACAAAATACTTGAGATTTTACTTACTAACAATGGCAGGCTTTTCAGAGTTACAAGAATTAAGTTTCCAGTTCTCTTGAAAAGGCCCACCCACTTTGAACCTGCAGGCTTCTTTTGTAGACCAGCTATCTGTCTCCAAGATCCTCTGCATGTATAAATTCATCAAACACACTACCCATTTGTAAAATATCCAACCTTTTCAACACTCCAAAGCATACTGGATGGATTCCAAACAAGTTAACAGTTCTAGTAAAGAAAAGCCATTTAATGTGGCTACTCTTTTCTGGTAACATTTTTGAGTTCAGAAGCAGTCTTATTTCCCCAAAATGAGTCATTATCCACTGCATGAGTGTTCGTCACAACCTGCGCACCACATTAAATAACTAAGGTTCGGACTGTTCATCCTTTTCTGGTGTTTTTTACAGGTTCCTCGGCAATCACCAAACCTTTCAGAGAGACAGTACATAAACACCCGTTGATTTAATGTAAGACTTTTCTGCCTTCACATCCTCAATTATTTCCAAAATCCAGAAAGACATTCTCCTTGCCTCATACTCTAAACACGTAATTTTACAGCTGGTCAACATCTGCTAGCAACAATCGTAGCTATGTGGTAGGCAAACATCTATGGAGGTCATCTCCCTCCATTTCCATGAAGTAAAACCCTCATTGTTTTTGCAGGTTTTAAGGAAACTAAAGGGAAGAACGAACTTTCCTTACAAAACCCTCAACGTCAGAGGTAAGCAAATCACATCCCTTTTTAGCACTGTTCTAAGAATGCAAGGTGTGGAAGACGTTTCTCAGGTAGTATCTTTTCATTTTCTTTGGTAAGAAGTTTACAGACTGAATGGAATTTGCCAAGTTTACATTTGCACTGTTTGCCAAAATATACAGACAGACTGAGCAAAAGCTAATCCATATTTGAACAATACACCAACAATTTTTGTTTTATGTGGTTTCTTTATAATCTTTATAGGAATCAAAAATTCAACTTGAAATACCATTTTTCAAATCAAAGTACCTAAGAGCTAGGGAAACATCTTTGTGTTGCTGTGATTTGATGCAATACTCAATGGAGTGAAGAAAGTTAAGACTGTTGGTAAGATCCAACAGAATCAGCTCTCTATGTTGTAAGAAGCCAACACATCTGTTATCAAAATTTACTTTTTTTTTTTTTCTTTTCACTGACAGGATGTTTTAGTTGCAACCTCTGAATCAGGAAATATAACTTTCGTCAGTTTCATAGAACAATCAAGGGAAAAAATAAAATGTGTATATCCATGTGACACGCCCATGTTAATTCAGTGCCTACTGTTTTCAACTGAGCAACAATGTCTTTTTGGAAGATGAAAAAAGTGCAGATGGATTTAGATGCACTTGCCTGTCTCATTCAGACCTGTGAGACTCCGCCTCTGCACATGCGTTTACATTCTCATCTCTACCAGGCCCACAGTTTGCTAGAGCTGCCATAACAAAGACTCACAAGCTGGGCGGCTTAAACAACAGGAAGTTATTGTCTTATGGTTCTGGAGGCCAGAAGTCCGAGATCAAGATGACGGCAGGCCCGCGCTCCTTTGGAAGGCTCTAAGGAAGGATGTGCTCCTGGTCTCTCTCCTAGCTTCTTGCAGTTCCTTCGCTTCTGGCAGCCCAACTCCAATCTTCACATGGCATTTTCCCTGTGTACATACCTGTGTCCAAATTTTCCCTTTTTATAAGGATACCAGCCATATTGGATTAAGGACCCATCACACTCAACTATGACCTCATTTTCACTTAACTAATAACATCCGTATTGATCCTATTTCCAAATAAATTCACATTCAGAGGCAGTACGACTTAGAACCTCAACAAATGAATTGGGGGGGCAGGATAGAAGTCAATCCCTAACAATGTCCAATTCCCAAATTCTTTTCTGCACGTTGTGTCTATTTTGGTTATCTAATTCCCTACTCCATGTGTCTTTCCATCCATCTATAATAACATATCATTATATACTAATATATGTAGTAATACATACTATACGTATTTCCATATATAATAACTGTAACCTTTATTGGTGATGCTTGGAGCATTCTGGTGTTGGTATCATAACTAGTCTCCTGCTCATTATCTGAATTTCCAATGGATAGTCAAAGATGACCGTTAATGCTCATGATTATAACACTTCTGTTGCATCATTCAGGGTAATGTGACAATGAACGATCCATTATTGTGAACTGCAAATCATGGGTGCCATGATTTTTTGCATCATAGGAAAAGATTTCACAGGATGTGAAATTTTCAGTGGTAAAATGGTAAAACCAGGATGGACATGGGCAGGCCATCCCGTCTTTGTTTTATGATGAATCTTATTATAATGAATCCCAAATGGCAGGTAAACTTTTTCATTTTAATACATAATCAAAATCACATTCCCAGTGATGAGAAAGAGGAATGAAAAAAGAATAAACCTCTCTAACTCATCTAGCACTAAGAAGCACTTTCAAGATAATAGGAAACAAACTTTCATATTCCAAGTTCCTGGATGTTTCATGGACTTATTTTTTA